CCAAGGTATGTGTTTCATTAAAGTCAAAACTTTAAATGTACTGTATGACTCAGGTGCAACTCATTCATTTATTTCCAAGGATTGTGTCCAACACCTTGAATTGCCGACTTCTTTTCTAGATACTAGTTTAATTGTTTCAACTCCCACAAGTAAGTCTGTAATCACCAATAAAATTTGTCTAGATTGTCCTTTGTTCATTGAAAACAAGAAATTCTTTGTAATTTAATTTGTCTACCTTTATCTCAATTGGATGTAATCCTGGGTATAGATTGATTATCTTCCAATCAAGTCCTTCTAAATTGTGCAGAAAAATCAATAATATTTTCAAATTCTGAAAATATTTTGAGTTTCTCTACCAACTCAATAAATGAGTCTTTGAAGAACAAAATTCAAGGATATTTGTTACTATCTTCTGTGGAAGTAAAAAAGGAAGTCGATTTGAAAAAAAATAGCAGTTGTTCAAAATTTTCCTGAAGTTTTTCCTGATGATATTCCTGGTTTACCACCCAACAGAGAGATTGAATTTTCAATAAATTTAATGCCTGGAACTGGACCAATTTCTATGGCACCATATAGGATGTCCCATTCTGAACTGATAGAACTGAAGAAACAATTGGAAGAATTACTTGGGAAACAATTCATTCGTCCTAGTGTATCACCTTGGGGAGCCCCTATTTTATTAGTTAAGAAGAAAGATGGAAACTTTAGGTTGTGCATAGATTATCGTCAGTTAAATAAATTCACCATAAAGAATAAATACCCTTTTCCAAGAATAGATGATTTGTTAGATCAATTAAGAGGAGCTTCTATATTTTCTAAAATAAATTTAAGATCAGGATATCACCAAATTAGAGTAAAGGTAGAAGATGTACAAAAAACTGCATTTAGAACTAAGTATGGTCATTATGAATATCAAGTGATGTCTTTTGGTGTGACCAATGCTCCTGCAATATTCATGGATTATATGAATATGATTTTTCTTCCATTTTTAGATCATTTTGTTGTGGTTTTTATAGATGACATTCTTATTTATTCTAAAACTTTTGAAGATCATGCGAACCACCTTCAAGTTGTTCTTCAAATTTGGAAAGACAAACAATTGTATGCTAAATTGTCTAAGTGTGAATTTTGATTAAAAGAAGTAAAATTTTTAGGTCATGTGATTTCTAAAGAGGGAGTGTCAGTAGACCCAACTAAGGCGGAAACAATTCTACAATGGGATCCACCAAAAACAGTGACTAAGATTCGTAATTTCCTGGGTTTGACTGGATATTATAGGAGATTCATTGAAATATTTTCTAAAATGGCTATGCTTTTAACCGAACTCACCAAGAAAGGTCAAGCTTTTGAATGGACATAAAAATGCAAAAATAGTTTTCAAGAACTTAAGAAAAGATTAACCACTTCCCCTGTACTAGCATTACCTAACCCAACTGGACATTTTGTGATATTTTGTGATGCTTCCAAAATGGGATTAGGATGTGTTCTTATGCAAGATAGAAGGATAGTTGCATATGCATCGAGACAATTAAGAACACATGAGAAAAATTATCCAACTCATGATCTAGAACTAGCCGCCATCATTTTTGCACTCAAAATATGGAGACATTATGTGTATGGTGGTAAGTTTGAGGTTTTTAGTGACCATAAAAGTCTTAAATACTTGTTTGATAAAAAAAGAGTTAAATATAAGACAGAGAAGATGGATGAAATTTTTGAAAGATTATGATTTTGAATTACATTACCATCCAGGAAAGGCAAATGTAGTAGCAGATGCTTTAAGTAGAAAATCTTTACATGTCTCTTCCCTTACGACTCACGAGATGAGTCTACTAGAAGAGTTCAGAAACATGAATTTATCAATTACCTTGAACCCTGATAGAATAAAATTAAACTTAACTCAGATTACTAGTGGATTACAAAGACAAATTCAAGATGCTCAATTAGTTGATGAATTTATTCAAAAGAAAAAAAAGTTGATAGGACAAAAGAATGGAGAAAAATTTGGCATAGATAAAGCAGAAATTTTGAGATTTAGTGGTAGGATATGTGTACCTAATAATGTAGAGATTAGAAAGCTGATTTTATATGAAGCACATAAGAGTAAATTGAGCATACATCCAGGTACAAGAAAAATGTATCAAGATCTTAAGAAAATATTTTGGTAGCCTAAAATGAAGAAGCAAGTGGCACAATATGTAACATCATACTTAATTTATCAAAAAGCTAAGATAGAACATCAAAGACCTGTAGAAATGCTACAATCTTTAGACATACCTGAGTGGAAATGGGATAGTATTGCAATGGACTTTATAGTTGGTTTACCATGAACAATTCAAAAATTTGATTCCATATGGGTTATCGTGGATAGGTTGACAAAGTCTGCTCATTTTCTACCCATTAACATCAGGTATTCATTGGAGAAACTGACTGAATTGTACATAAAAGAAATTGTGAGGTTACATGGAGTTCCATCTAGTATTATTTCTGACCGGGATCCTAGGTTTACTTCTAAATTTTGGGGAAGCCTACATTAAGCCTTAGGAACTAAGCTTCATCTTAGCTCAACTTATCATCCTCAAATTGATGGACAATCAGAAAGAACCATCCAGTCCTTGGAAGATTTGTTGAGAACATGTGTGTTAGAAGATTCTGGTAGTTGGGACCGATACTGATCATTAATTGAATTTACTTATAGCAATAGTTTCCATTCTAGCATATGTATGCCACCCTATGAGACATTGTATGAGAGAAAATGTAGGACACCTTTATGTTGGTTTGAGACTGGAGAAAATTTAATCTTAGGTCCTGACATGATTCAACAAACCACGAAGAAAATTAAGATGATTAGGGAAAAATTAAGAACAACTCAAAGTCGACAGAAAAACTATGCTGACAAAAGAAGATGACCCCTTGAATTCCAAGAAGGTGAGCATGTATTCTTGAAAGTAACACCGACAACTGGAGTTGGTAGAGTAATGAAAGTCAAGAAACTCACTCCTCAATTTACTGGTCCCTATCAAATTCTTAGAAAAATAGGTCTTGTTGCTTATCAAATTTCCTTATCCCCTTTCCTTTCTAATCTTCATAATGTGTTTCATGTGTCTTAATTAAGAAAATATATTTCTGACCCTTCTCATGTAATAATGCCAGATACAGTACAATTAAAGAATAACCTTACATTTGAAACAATGTCTGTACAAATTACAGATATGAAGATCAAGCAACTGAGGGGAAGACAAATTCCACTAGTAAAGGTTGTTTGGAATGGAATTACTGGAGATGCTACGTGGGAATTAGAAAAGAGAATCAAAGAAAGTTACCCTCATCTATTTTAGTCACTAAAAATTTTGAGGATGAAATTTCTGTAAGTATGGGAGAAATGTAACATCTCAAATTAATGTAAAAGATAAACATTATCTTATCTTAAAAGATAAACCTTATCAAAATCATAATTACTGCATTTATGGTTACATAATTAAATAAATAAAAAGAAAAAAAATTTGCTCTAAAAAGGGACAGGGGGAAGATCCGTAGGAAGTAGGAGAGAGAAATAGAAAGAGAAAGAAGGAGAGAGAAATAGAAACAGAAAGAGAGAGAGAAAGAAAGCGAGAGGGAGGAAGAGAAAAAAAAAGAGAGAAAGGGAGAAAGATAAGGAGAGAAAAGAAAGAGAAAGATAAAATCGTCTCTGCAAAATTTTGGTACCTCATTCACAGTTCTTAAGGTAGGGAAGGAGAATATTATCATTAAATCTATTTTATTTTATTTATAGTTGTGGAGTGAGGTGTCCCTAACCTCATTCTATTTATTTAGTTATTTGTTTATTTATCTCTAACTACGTAATGGTCTTGTTTATTTATTTTATTTTATCTTCAGTCTTGCACTGGTCCTATTTTAATTATCTCCAATTATGTACTGGTCCTGTTTGTTTATTTCATTTTATCTCTAGTCTTGCTCTGGTCCTATTTTAATTATCTCCAGTTATGTACTGGTCCTGTTTGTTTATTTTATTTTATCTCCCATCTTGCACTGATCCTATTTTAATTATCTACAGTTATGTACTGGTCCTGTTTGTTTATTTTATTTTATCTTCAGTCTTGCACTGATCCTATTTTAATTATCTCCAGTTATGTACTGGTCCTGTTTGTTTACTTTATTTTATCTCTAGTAATACATCGATCCTATTTATTAATTTATATTATTCAATTATAATAATATCTATTTGTGAAGATTTGATGATATTGTAGATGGAGGTTGGACCTTGGAGATTTAAATGAGTAAATATAAATGTGAGAGGGATTAAAATTAGACTCATTTATCCTGACTAATCACTACAAATTTAATTTAAATCTTCATAAAATAGAATGTGTTGAGGAAGTTGAAACACACACACACATATATATATATATATATATATATATATATATATATATATATATATATATATTATAAGATGATATTATTGTAAATAATAAATGTTTTCACTCCTTATTGTGATTTTTTGTGCATATTTTATTTAAACCTCCAACTTAAATAAATGGAGGCGTCAAATATTTCAAATTCCTTCTTTGCAAGCATCACTATTTTCTTTCCAGTTACTTTTATATATATATATATATATATATATATATATATATATATAATATTGTTTCGTATTACTCTTATACAAATAATAATAATAATAAAAATGACAGAAATGATATGTCAATGTCAAAATCGGTTGTTTATATTATTATAATAATATTATTATTTTATTTTAATTATAAGATGGGATATTAAACTATCAGCACCCTTAATATTATAATTAAATTACGAAAGAATGATTTGAAAGATAAAAAATGAAAATAATGATGTGTTTTTCTATTGAAATTTATGTAAATATTATTTAATTATAAGTTATCAATTGGTAAAAATAATTAAATATCGTATATTTATATTTATAACATATAATATAATAAATATATAATTACAAATAATTTATTTATTGTTGTCGTAAATAGATTTGTACCGCAAGTATTAGTATTACTATAAAAAGAGATGCCACATGAATGATTAAAAGAAATTGAACAGAACAGGGTTTTATGTTCCATAAAAATTGTATCTTGTAATTTAAAAATGTAAACTTCAATTACGATATGCATTTCAAAATATATTATTATAAATATAATAACATCACTACTAGAAAATAAAACATTTTGCATCATCTTTATTTTAGACTTTTACATTCTATATAGGTTATAAAAGTACATGCAAAAATATCTTTCTATCTTTAGCATGTACTTTTAAATCGATTCTATTCAAAATTGATTTTAAAACTAATTTTCTAATACAGTTATTTATAAAAATGATTTTAAAATTATTATTGTTTTAAAACATACTTTTTTAATTTTGCACAGTTCTCAAAACCTATAAATTCCAATTAATCCCAGACAGTTTTTGCAGATAATGTAAACAATTATAAGTTATATAAAAGTTTATATGTGCAAAAAAAAAAAATTTAGAAACTAGATAAGGGGAAGAACCCAATAACAAATAAACATTTTTAACGGATTTCAAAATTCAATTAATTATTGTATAAAAGAAATATTTTTTTATAGTAATGAGTATTATAATAATAACGCATAATAAATATAATAATTATACATAATATTATATTAAAATAATTCAACTATTCTATAACTTCTTTATTATTTCTATATTTTCTTTTTTCTTTTAGGTGAACCTTCAAATATTTTTTATTATTCAATAGAACTTGTCCCTTAGTATAACAATCATCGAATATTTTTTATAAAAAAGAACATATAAACTAATCACAATTAATATATAATTTTAACTTATTACTACTATAAACTAGTTGTTAGTTTATAGAGATACTATGTTAATGAACACTTAAACTTATAGTCATTTAAGGTTTATAGTTCTGTATCTTTCTTTTAACTTTAGCCAATTAGGGTTTATCGCAATGAACCTTTATTTTACAAAGTGTATTTGTATTATATATATATATATATATATATATATATATATATATATATATATATATTTAACATTATTTAAAAATAAAAAATAATATATTTTATAAATATATTTTTTCACTCAAGCCATTAATTTGTTTTTAAAAAATTAAATTGTAATAAACTAAAATTTTAAATTAAAAAAATACTTTAAACTATTGACGGGATAATGAATCCCAAACACTTTATCCTACACCAAACATTTAATCATGCAAAGCTATTAAATTCTCTTGTTAATTTTATATCTATTAAAACTATTTTGCTTTGATATAAAAAAATTAGAATCATGCAAAATATCACTCATTGTAAACCTTTTAGTTATGCTTTACTAACTTTGAATTTTTTATTACATTAATGAACCATCTTACCATTATTGACAATGCTAATGGTCTTTAGATGGTGAGAATACAACAAACATTCTTTACATCTTTGAAACAATAATTGCCAAAATTTGTAATAGAAAGAGAAAAAAAAACAAAAAACAAAACATGGCATCAAGCGAGTGTGAAGAACTGAGTCCAACAGGCAATGAAGTGTCTACATATTGTAATGTGATTGCAAATGCTCAAGTTATTGGAGAAGGTTTATGTTAAACACTGCTCAAAAATACAAAACATACCAACAAGCTGATTCGTAATGGTTTATCACTCTACTCTTCTTGGTTTATATCAAACACTTATCAAACATCGAGATTTACCAACAAGCTAATGGTCCTTAGATTGTGACAACACAACAAACAGTCTTATATCTTGGAAACAATTATTGCTAATTAATTTGCAGCACAGAGAGGGAATATATGACATCAATTTAGTCTGTAGAACAGGGAATGAAGCATCTATAAATTGTTATGTAATTATCACCTATACAAACATCATTCTTGAAGAGAAGGTTTATGTTACTGCTCAAACATCCAATATTTACCAACAAACTGGTTAGTATTCATCACCCTACTCTTGTAATTTTATTTTTTTTAAAGAAAAGTGTTTCACAAAGCATAGAAATCTACGTTGAACCAAACCATAATTATTGAGGTTGTAAATCTTGTTCTATGTTTTTTTTTTTAATTTTTGAAACTCTTTTATATTTATTTTGTGTTTTATCGGATGTAAATTGATGTCGTAAATTAATATCCACTTGATCGATGTAAATTATATTAATATTGGACTTATATCTAATATAAAACAACTAAAATAATCAGATATAAAATACCATTTTATATTTGGAAGAAAATTTTACTTGAGGTAGATTAGTAATATAGTGTCATGAGATATCTTCAATTTTTTATTTATTATTTTAAATATATATTTTTGTCAGTAAAACTTATTATAATAACTAATTTTGTTTTCTTTTTAGATTGAGGATAGTTCTTTTTTTCTTAGGTTTTGTTTGTTGCAAAGTATGTAATGTTATTCTAAGAAAAAAACCCACTTGGAAATATCACACCGTGTTTCAAGGCTAGCCTGAAAAAATCTTTATCAAAGATTTTGTTTTTTTCCAATCATTTTTTTTACTTGTTTTACGGTGATATTTTGACCATTGCAATAAAACTTCTGGTGGAGACATGCTTATTATTTCAGCATAATAATTAATATTGAGAAAATATTAAAGATGATATAGTATGATCATAATATTTGTCGCTGAATAGATGCTTGTGAGATATACTGACTTTTAATCCTGCATACCATTTTTGAATCACCATTTCTTCAAAATTATATTTGATTTTTAAAGATGAAATAAAAGAATGTAATATGATAAAAAGTGAATGAATTAAATATATTAATATTATAACAACATTATATCTTACATGAATACTTTGTTATAAAATATTTTTTCAATAATTTGCAGTAGTTGAAATAATATATTTTTTTAAATAATTCACTAAGTTTTATCATAAAGAGTTTTATCTTGATTAATATTTCCCAAACGTATAAAAAGGATGTAACTTTCAACTTAAAGATAATGATTTGTAATCGCTTACACTTTACACTTGAATTCATTTAAAAACTCTTCTATCGATTAATAATTGGATAAAGTATTTATCCATCATAAAGAACCAGATGCTTTATGTTATATAAAAAGTTAAAAGATAAACAAAATTAACTAATGAAAGTAAAAAGTTGTTATTTTTTCAATTAAAAATATTAGAACAAACAAAATTAATTAATGATATTCATATTTTTATTCAAATTTTTATCTCCATCATCGTCGGTCTTTAATACCCAGTTAGCAAATTTTTTATATCTCTTATATTATCATTTGTTTTTGTAATATTTAATTTCATATTATTTAAGAACTTTGCAATTTAATTTCAACCTTTTCTAATGGATTTACCTAAAATAATCTTCTAAACAAAACAATTTACCACAATATAGTATTTCATTACTATGTTCATTTGACATAATAATATCTTTCAAATTTCAATCAATTACTTCAAACGCAATAATTATTGGTGTCTTATCCAGGTTTTCATAAAAAGTCTAACTTGAAAACCCTTTTAACAATATTACAAATTGATTCTCCATTTATTAAAAACAAAATAGTATTTCATTTAAAATCATCATTTTCTTAAGTCTAATAATAACTAACAAAGTTTTCTAAAGATTCGTCTTTCTAATACTACGTAAGAAGAAGAATAATCTTTATCTGCTTTAAAAATCTATTCATTTATACGTATTTGTTCATTAATTATTAGAAAATAGATAACATATATTTACTTTATCATAATTTTTCTCGTAATTTTGAAATATGAATGAGTCTAGATATTGAGATTGTGGTAGAAAATGGATCTTATATGTTAATGGGGAGACCACTAAACCCTAAAAGCTAGCGAGCGACATATATTCCTTTTTTCACACTTTCCGTGTATCATGCAAGAACCGTCCCTTTTCCAACTCTAGATAGTAATTTTCTACAAAAACTATAGTTTTCAATAATCTCTGCCACAAAACAACACCGCACCATTTTGAACGACAAGAAAACAGAAGGAAAATAAATGACGCCATAGTCAGCATTTTCTAACACATGACAATTACAGCTTCTAATTTTATTACTCCAATAAAATCAGCTTAAGCTTAGGTTAAAGTAGTGTGTAACCAACACGTGCTTTCGAGTTCCACTTTTCTCACTTTCTCATTCATATCAGGGAATATTTCTTCTTTTATTTGTCATTATTCTGCGCTTTTTTTTCTCCTCTTTTGTCGTTTTTTGTGCTTCATCCTTAAGCGGAAATATCGTGCCTGTCCACGTTACTTGTCTCTGTTGAACATGCTTGACTAAGCGATGATTCACTTTAATGGAAAAATATGAAAAATCTCATTTAAGATAATGAAATGTGATGATTTTTTTTTTAATAAAATAAGAGAATATAATGATTTTTTTTAATAAAATAAGAGAATATAATAATTTTTCTTTTGAGATGATAATTTTTTTTCTCAAAATAAAATTAATATATACATAAATATAAGTTTTATTCCTTCAGTTTGGTAAGATTATATTAACAACTTCTCCCATTTATAATATAAACAAATTATGTTTTAGTCTGTCCCACATTATTTTAATGATCATTTGCGTTTCATTTATTTCTAATCTGTGAACACTTTTAGAACCAGTCATAAAACAAAAAATTCCATTACAAGGAAAAAACATATACTTTTTTTTACAATTTTCTTAATCTGAAAATTTCAATATAACTAGTCATTTTGTTATCGGGATGACTCTTTTTGCTAAGTTTAATTACTTTAAAAAGTAAAATATGCTTTTAATAATCTTATGTAGATAGTTTTTTTGAAGAACTATTCTTTTAAATTTCATAAACTTTATTCATGTTCCATAGTCACAAAATCCTAGATCAATTAAGATTTAAGATTATTATAATTTATAAACCCTTCTCTCTTAACCTAATAATGATAATAGTATATTTCAAGACAAAACAATAATACAATCATTAAAAGTTAAAATTCCAGTTCAATATCCAAGCCATTCTTTTAATTTATGAATCAATATAAAAGATAATGTGTAAATATTTTTTTCTTCAAATTCAGTAAAAAAATACTTTTTTGAAGTAAACACTTTTTTAGAATAAGATAACGATGGACTCACTTTATATTATATTATATATATATATATATATATATATATATATATATTTTTTTTTTTTTCATTTCTCTGCTTATCATATAATAAAGTATTATAACATTTATATTTTTTATATAGGTAATCGTGGAAATGAGACAACCTACTGTCACCAAACCTAGAACCTTGGTTTATATGTCATTACTGAGACACGAGAAACAAAATTATATTATGATTCTACAAACGCTACAAGAGCTATCACACACAAATTTCACTTGTCCATGTGCCATTAAGTACTCGTCGGCGTCTCTTTCACTCTTCTGTAGAAGAGATAGACATTAGATCGTACGTGCACTACACGAATGCATGTATAATATTTATGTTTATTTTTTAAAATACCTAACAATAATTTCATATTATATATGCAAAAAATAAACGTAAAACAGAGATTTTTTTTTTTTTAATTTCACTATCATTATATTCATTTTTCCTTAAGTAGTGTTATGGTTTAGAGCATGTAGTTTTCGCGCCCCACTATGTTGTCTTTATCAATATGGAAAAGAATAGAATATTTTGATTCCTAATGTTTGACTTTACTATCACTTCTTCCAATGCTATCCATAAATAAAAATTTTCAAGTTAAATTTTATTTTAATTCAAATAAATAACTCAAAGATCATTATAGTAGTCGATAATTTTATAACAATTTAATATTAATAAAATCGATAAATACTTTAACTTCTCTGTAAATGTTTTTAAAAGAAAAATATGAAAAATTTAAATTAATTTATGTATAAATTAGTTTGTAGAATTTTTTTATTAACTCTAAAATTTTATTTTTAATTCAAGCGTAAGTTAATATTAATATTTAAAATATCTGATTTCATTTTTTTTTATTTTATGTTGTTTTTGGAGAAGTTTCTTGGAAATGTCCATAACAGCAAAAAATAAGAACAGTAGAGGTGAGCTGGCATTTTACTTTTTTCTACCAATTGATCATCCATTCATTTGGGTTTCGTGTTAAACTTAAACTGTTGTAGTTATTTTTTTCTTTTTTTTTTAATCACTATTGTTACATATTGTTGTTCCATTCTCCTTGTTTTCAATGGTTACGCTGTTTTATTGCATGTTTATTATACTGAGTATTTGATTTGTTTTAATCCTGCACCAATGTGATCCAATGACATTCTAACTACAGTTTAAGAGTAGAATTCAACAATATGAAAGGGTCTTTGTTTTTTGTTATTTTGTTTTTTTATTACTCACAGGATTCTTTATACATGTTTGTCTTGTAATTACTGTCTTATTCTTAGTCTTCTGTATGGACCAAATGTTTTTCCAGTACAGATGTATATGAGCTACCTTCGACTGATAAATACAGAAGGCTTAAATATCTCACACAGATTTTCTTTTTCAGTGTTACTTTACTGGTTGATCTTTTATCTCCTTGATCAGCTTCATGATTTTCGCTAATTGCTGGTGCTAGGTACGTGGTCATTTACTTGTAACAACTTAAACCTTTAGAAGAATTAACATTTATCATGTAATCGAATTTTTTTCTGTATATTGCCATTTCCATTTTCTTGAGTATGAACTTTAACTCAAGATTTCATATTATTCTACTAATCGTGACCATATTTTGTTTCACCATTTTTTTTTTCAATATAGTTTTAGGACACTGTTTTTCATGATAAAAACATAATTTTCTTGTTTATTTTTTATTTTTTTTTTTTTCAGAATTTAAGCGGCAAAGAGAACATACAATTTATGATGGATGATTTTTGGAGCACGTTTTGTGGAGAATCTGATTGTCCTGGAAATGGAGGAAAACCACCTTTCTGTTACGATTTCAAGATTTTGAAAGATCCTTCTTCGTGCACCGACCAATTCTTGATCATCTGCTTTGATGTTTTACTACTGATCATGCTAGCATTCATTTTGATGCAGAAGTTTTTTTTCAAACCATTTCGTGGTCAGTTTCAGGTGGAAAGATATTCAAACTTGCAGCTAGTTTCTGCCATAACCAATGGTTCTGTGGGGTTGTTGTATTTGTGCTTAGGAATTTGGGTTATAGAGGAGGAATTAAGGAAGAAACACACTCTTTTTCCTCTTAAGTTGTGGTTGGCAGAGCTTTTTCAAGGATTCAGATGGTTGTTAGTAGGCTTAAGTGTAAGTCTTCAGTTTAAACAACTTCCAAGGTCATGGTTGTGGTTGTTTACTCTTCTGACATTATTTGTTTCAACTATTTTCTGTGTTTTGTCCATGTATTATGCAATTAGTAGTAGAAAATTGACCTTCAAGGAATCTTTAGATATTTTGTCTTTTCCAGTGTCAGTTTTACTACTCTTGTGCACTTATAAAGTGTATAAATGTGAAGACACTGGTAGAGAAATTGATGAAGGCCTTTATGACCCTTTGAATGGTCATTTTAATGAAGTTGATCAAGATAAATATGTGACTCCATTTGCCAAAGCTGGATTCCTTAGTAAGATGACATTTTGGTGGTTGAATCCATTGATGAAGAGGGGTCAGGAGAAAACACTTCAGGATGAGGATATCCCGAAGTTGCGAGAATCAGATCGAACAGAAAGTTGCTATATGTCATTTTTAGAACAATTGAACAGGACAAAAGGAAAAGAACCATTATCACAATCATCAGTTTTGTGGACCATAGTTTTATGCCACAGGAGAGAGATTTTGATGACTGGATTGTTTGCATTGCTCAAGGTACTCACCTTGTCTACTGGTCCTGTACTTCTGAATGCTTTTGTATTGGTTTCTGAGGGCAATGAAAATTTCAAATATGAGGGTTATGTATTGGTCGTATCACTTTTCATTATAAAGGTCATCGAGTCCCTGTCACAAAGGCAGTGGTATTTCCGCAGTAGGCTTGTTGGAATGAAAGTTAGGTCACTACTCACAGCAGCCATTTATAAAAAACTATTGAGGTTATCTAGTTCAGCTAGACTGACATACTCTGGTGGTGAGATAATGAATTATGTGACTGTGGATGCTTACAGAATTGGAGAATTCCCATATTGGTTTCACCAGTCGTGGACAACAATCCTCCAAATATGTATTGCTTTAGTAATACTTTATAATGCTATTGGGATAGCAACAATATCCTCATTGGTGGTCATAGTTCTCACTGTGCTTTGCAACGCTCCACTAGGGAAGTTGCAGCATAAGTTTCAGAGCGAACTCATGGTGGCACAAGATGAACGATTGAAGGCGAGTTCTGAGGCTCTTACAAATATGAAAGTCCTGAAGCTGTATGCATGGGAAACCAGTTTTAAAAATGCTATAGAAAGACTAAGAAATTTGGAACTGAAATTGTTGCAAGCAGTGCAATTGAGAAAGGCATACAACGTATTTTTATTTTGGAGCGCACCAGTTTTGGTCTCTGCTGCTTCTTTTGCAACATGCTACTTCTTGAATATTCCTTTGCATGCAAATAATCTGTTCACATTTGTGGCAACTATACGCCTTGTGCAGGAGCCAATTACAGCCATCCCAGATGTTATTGGGGTGGTCATTCAAGCAAAAGTGGCATTTGCCCGGATAATTAATTTCCTTGATGCACCTGAATTGCAAAGCGCAAATCTCAGGAGTAAATGTTTTGATGACAGTAAAGGGTCAATTACAATCAAATCTGCTGATTTTTCATGGGAAGGCAATGAATCAAAGTCAACACTGAGGAACATAAACCTGGAGATTAGACATGGGCAAAAGTTGGCTATTTGTGGAGAAGTTGGCTCGGGCAAATCAACTCTCTTAGCTACTATTCTTGGAGAGGTTCCTATGATAAAAGGAACTGTAAGTTTTTATTCCTTTTATGCTCATATATTATCCGATACACTATTAAATTTTTGGGGTACTGTACATGATATTTTTACTTCATTATCAATAGTTATATTTAGCCTATGAATTCAAATCACTATACAGACTGCTTTTCTAGTTTTTCCCTGTCCTTCTTCATTTTAGCTGTACTATTAACAGGTGTTTAATTCTCTCTATTGAATTACAGATAGAAGTTAACGGAAAGTTTGCATATGTTTCACAAACAGCATGGATACAGACAGGTACTATACGGGAAAATATTTTGTTCGGATTACATTTGGATGCTCATAGATATCAAGAAACTCTTCGAAGATCATCACTGCTGAAGGATTTGGAGCTGTTTCCCGATGGAGACCTCACAGAAATTGGTGAGAGAGGAGTTAACTTGAGTGGAGGCCAGAAACAGCGAATTCAACTTGCACGTGCTCTTTATCAGAATGCTGATGTATATCTCTTGGATGATCCATTTAGTGCTGTTGATGCACATACTGCCACAAATTTGTTTAACGTAATGTAATCTACCTTTTGTCACTTAATTATGTTTTATGTGACATTCTGTATTCAAATATGGTTTTTAAACATGGCAGGAATACATCATGGATGGTCTTAAAGACAAAACTGTTATACTCGTTACTCATCAAGTTGACTTTCTACCAGCGTTTGATTTTGTTTTGGTAATTCCTTAAAATCACTACATGATTATGCCCTTGTTCTTCTTTTCTCTGTTTCCTGTATATAACTATTGACTGTACATTAGTAATGAATTGGATATTACTGATTTCATTTTTGTAGTCATTAGTCTCCATATCTTTCTTATTTTGCTTTACTTAATTATAGGCTGAAGTTCGTTCTTTTTTTCTTTTTTTCTCAGTTGATGTCAAATGGGGAAATCCTAGAAGCTGCTCCTTATCATCATTTGTTGTCCTCAAGCCAAGAATTCCAAGATCTTGTTGATGCTCACAAGAAAACTGCTGGTTCTGACAAGCAAATGAATGTTACTTCTTCCAAGAGGCATTTAATATCTTCTAAGGAGATTACACAAGCTTTCAAGGAGAAGCAATTAAAAGCAACAAATGGAAATCAGTTAATAAAGGAAGAAGAGAGAGAGATAGGAGACACAGGGTTGAAGCCTTACTGTCAGTATTTGAATCAGATGAAAGGCTACATATTCTTCTTTGTGGCTTCTCTTTGTCACCTGTTGTTTGTCATTTGCCAGATATTGCAAAACTCGTGGATGGCTGCTAATGTTGACAACTCCCAAGTCAGCACATTGCGGTTGATTGTTGTTTACTTCTTGATTGGGGCTGCTTCTACAGTTTTTATGTTGATCAGAGTTTTTCATATAGTTGCCTTGGGTGTTCAATCATCAAAATATTTATTTTTACAGTTAATGAACTCCCTTTTTCGTGCACCGATGTCCTTTTATGACTCCACACCATTGGGAAGAATACTTAGTAGGGTAAGTATACTAAATAATTTCTTGGTATGCTATGAATTGTAACAAATGTAATTATATTTTGATAGTCATTTCCTATGTAGGCCTCATCAGATCTCAGCATTATGGACATTGATATCCCATTTATGATTTCTTATACTATGGGAGGTACTACAAACTTCTATTCTAATCTCGCAGTTTTAGCCATTATCGCTTGGCAAATGTTGCTTATCGCTGTACCGATGGTATACATTGCAATACGCTTGCAGGTAATGAACAATGTCTTCTTTGAAAAATACTCTGATTTACTTTGACAGGCATTTGAGAAAGCTATCAAATTTAACTAAATAATGCTCATTGTTCTTTACCTTTTATCTTTTGGTAACTTTTTATTGATGTTTTAGCATATATAATTTAAAATATCCATGGTTGGACAGTAAACAGGGTATTTATTTTTTAAAAAACTAGAGATACTATTTTTGCACTGCAAAAGAAGTGATGCGGATGAATGGCACAACAAAGTCCATTGTAGCTAATCATGTAGCTGAAACTACTGCTGGAGTTGTGACAATAAGAGCCTTTGGACAAGAAGATCGTTTCTTTGAGAAGAATCTTGATCTAATTGACATCAATGCTAGTCCCTTCTTCCATAGTTTTGCCTCAAATGAGTGGCTGATCCAGAGATTAGAAATAGTTAGTGCAGTACTTCTTTCCTCCACAGCACTGTGCATGGTTATACTTCCTGAAGGGACTTTCACCTCTGGTAAGACTTTGGTCATTGTTACATGTGAAATATCATGGGTTTTAGCATTACAATCATCTTCATATTATTTTGCATTTATCTGCAAACAATAGCATTATCTCACTTGGTGCAAGTTTAGTAATTTTAATATACTTTGTTCCTAGGATTCGTTGGCATGGCTCTCGCTTATGGTCTTACACTAAATGCTCAACTGGTATTTTCAATTCAAAGTCAATGCAGTCTAGCAAATTACATAATTTCTGTTGAGAGGCTAAATCAGTATATGCATATACCAAGTGAGGCCCCAGAAGTAATTGAAGGAAGTCGTCCTCCTTCGAATTGGCCAGTCTCTGGTGAAGTAGAACTGAATGATTTGCAGGTAATTTTATCAAATTTTAACTTGAACCAATTGGTATATAATGAAAATTTGTCCGACAAGTATATAAGTCGCATTCCAAGAATTGAATTAAGGTAGATGAACTTCCCAACAAAAGAGTACTTATTTAAAATCATGCTCAAAAAGTTTATCATTGAAATCAATTGCATATATAATTTGCTTGTTTATACCAAGACAGGTACGATACAGGCCTGAGGGACCACTTATACTCCATGGAATCACGTGCACATTCAAAGCAGGGCACAAGATTGGAATTGTTGGAAGGACAGGCAGTGGGAAGTCCACTCTGATCAGTGCATTATTTCGTCTTGTGGAGCCAGCAGGTGGAAAAATTGTAGTTGATGGCATAGACATATCTTCTATTGGCCTACATGATTTGAGGTCGCGTTTTGGTGTTATACCTCAAGATCCTACTCTTTTTAATGGGACTGTCAGATATAATTTGGACCCTTTATCACAATACTCTGATCACGAGATATGGGAGGTAAAACCAACCACATTCTGTTTACTTTTGCTTAACATTGCAAATGTCGCCTAATTACTGTTCAATATGAAGGTTCTTGGCAAGTGTCAGTTGCGAGAAGTTGTCCAACAGAAATTAGAGGGCCTGAACTGCCCAGGTACACTGTCAACATTATGGTAATCAAGGTTTAAAATTCCAGTTGTGGTTTTGTCACGATCCATGAAGTTGTGGCCACAATTGTAGTCTTAAACCGTTTATGAAACCCTGATGGTAATTATGTCACGAGTACTTTCCTAGTTAATAACTAGTAAAATATTGTTATGCAGTTGTTGAAGATGGATCAAACTGGAGCATGGGACAAAGACAATTATTTTGTTTGGGGCGTGCACTTTTAAAGAGAAGTAGGATATTGGTGCTGGATGAAGCAACTGCATCGATTGACAATGCAACCGATTTGATTCTACAGAAAACAATTCGGACTGAGTTTGCAGATTGCACTGTGATTACAGTAGCACACAGGATACCAACTGTGATGGATTGCACCATGGTCCTTTCAATCAGTGATGGTAAATTGCATTTGAACAGCTCCTAATTAACAATAATTTTACCATGCCACTTGGTTTGGCACACACCATGAATTGCATAGGCATGCTGTATGGTTTAGTTGCATGGACTAGTTAAAGGGTAATGTAGGATAGTTGATTTAGACAACTTGTAAATGTGTATATTTTCTTAACATTTACTTGTATTTTACAGGAAGACTGGTGGAGTATGATGAACCAACGAGTTTGATGACGAAAGAAGGATCGCTATTCAAGCAACTTGTGAAGGAGTACTGGTCTCATTTTCAATCTGCAGAATCACAATGATAATGCAAAATGTTTGATTATTTCAGTTTTGTTGTCTTTTTTGGTATTAGCATTAAGTTAATAAAAAGATGTGTGAAATTTGAAGAACATAATGAGAATGTAATAATAATTTAATCTTAAACGAAGTATTGATCAGATATCCTGATTAATGTAAGGTTAAATTACTATTTTCCTTTTTTTTTCAATTTCATCTTATTTTTATATTTAGTTTTTTTTTTTTTTTTTTTTTTTTTTTAAAGTTAGTCCATTTTATTCTTTCTATTCATGCCGTCAAGATATTTAAGAGAAGAGTGTAACATGACATTGATATAATTTTTTAATGAGAAAACTATCAAAATAAATCCGTTTAAATATTAAATTAAATTTATCATATATTTTTATTAAGGTTAGTCATTGTATACAAATATTAAAAATTAAGTTCCACTATATTTGATTTGTGATACTAACCCATGATAAAAGAAAATATTTATTAGGTTGAAAAGAATTATTGTTTAATATTATACATAGCATCAATTGAGAAGTAAATTAGTTTTATTGTAAAGAAAATTGATATATTTCAACCAATATTTTTTTAAAAAACTTCTAAATTAGAAAAAAAGGAAAAAACTATTCGAAAAATTTAAATTAACTTATATATAACAAAATTATTTTGTTATATTTTGTTTTATTATTATTATTATTATTATTATTATTATTATTATTATCCTAATAAAATTATATTTTTTGTTTTTTATACATCAAATACCATTGTGTTTGTAACAAGGGACTCTGATTTTATAATGAAAAGTGATACGAACAATATAAGTAGTGAGGTTGAGTATATTTAAGACGCAACAGCTGCGAATTAGAAAACTTTGATAAGAAGTTTATAGGTTCAAAAATGTTGCAAGTGTTATGTGGGTGGCCAACAAGTCACCTATTGCTATAGCTAAAAACAATGTTCAAAATGGAGGATCAAGATATTAAGGTTAAATATCATGGCCATTATAGAAGAAGAAAAATCGAAAGTAAACTTAGAAATAATGCAACTCAAAATTCAGATTCCAGATGTAATGACCAAGGCTCTTCCAAACTATAATGTCCAAATCAAAACTTGGCGTATTGAAGAAAAACATTGAAAAGTGTTGAAATATTATTAGACTTTGGATTGCTTATAACTTCGGTCAATAGTTGTTTGTTAGTAAGAGTTTGTAACTGATAAAATCGCATGTTATCTAGAGATACCATAAAAGTTCATTTAGCAAAATTCACTGAGCGTTGGGGTGTATTTTTGCGGTGAACTTCTGTTTCTTCTAAAGAAGTTATTTCTATCTTTCTCAATATTATGTCTCAGAAATCTAATCTATTGATTTTTTTTTCCAGAGCCTCCTACTTATTCGAAACTATTTTTTATTTAAATTAAGTATTAAGAGATTTTATTATTTTTTAAGAAAAAAAAAGATAAAAAGATATTAAATTATTATTTTGATTTAGATAATTATGATTAAGATATTATTGATATTTGATATTTTATAATATTTTTACTCTATATATAGATAAAGTACATAAATAAAAATATACCCATAAATACACATACACAAAATCCAAAAAATTCCCAATATTACTAACTTTCTTCAATAACCATATTAATGTCTACGAAAGCAGGGTCTCGCTTCACTTATATATACCTCTTATTTCACAATTGAGAGATTATATTCCGACATGCTCTTGAGTCCTACATCACTTATGAATCGAAATAAAAGATAATTAATATATATCTTTCTTTCTCAACCTACCGATATTCCTTTTAAAGATAAAATTGTGATAAACTAGAGTTAAAAAATAGATAATATCATAATTAATCTGTTCTTAGACAAAACAATAACTATAATTTTTATCTTAATTAATTGGTTTTATGAAATTGAATTAGATATCCCATATTTTTTAAAGCTGTATCAAAATCAATATTAACTAAACTTAAGAGTCTTATATTATAAAATATTTAATTCAACCTTAAAAAAATCACACTTCACATCGTTATATAATTGCATATTGCTAACAGTGAAGAAAGATAACAGTAACGACATTAAAAATATAACTTGCTAGAATCAACGTGACCTGCAGAATGAAAATGAGAGAAGTATTCATTAACAAGTTGCTTGAATAGTGATCCTTCTTTCTTCATCAAGCTCATAGGTTCATCATATTCCACCAAATTTCCTGTCAACACAATATCCATTTTCTTTAAACAAAAAATGTAAAATATATATCATAAAAAAAACTCTTCTAGAGTTTTTTTTTTTTTAATGTTCCACTGTCAAATCAAGTATCACATATTTTTGCCAGATGATACAAATTTTTAACATTAAAAAAAAATGCACTAGAAAAATTAGAAAATGCTAGAAAACTAAAACATGTTCTCATGAGAGTTTTTGAGAAATAAAACTAAGTAGATAAATGTAGTATAAAAGAAATATAATTTATATTATTCCCATTATTTTGAACTATTATTTGTTTGATTGGAAAATGATTGTTTGACATGGACATAAAAAATGGAAATAGAGTCATGCATGGACTAGTCTTAAATGTTAAAAAGATATAAAATGGAAGTCAATATGCAACTTACCTTCACTAATTGAAAGAACCATTGTACAATCCATCACAGTTGGTATTCTGTGAGCTACTGTGATCACCGTACAATCTGCAAACTCGGTTCTAATGGTTTTCTGCAGAATCATATCAGTTGCATTATCAATTGATGCAGTTGCTTCATCCAACACCAATATTTTGCTTCTCCTCAAAAGAGCACGCCCCAAACAGAATAGTTGCCTTTGTCCCATGCTCCAATTTGATCCCTCTCCAACAACTAAGAAACAATTTCATACTAGTCATTAATTACTAACTTGAAAAAAGTGCTTGCAGTAGAGTGAAAATAGTTAAATATGAAGTGTACCTGAGGAATTTAAGCCCTCTTGCTTCTCTTGAACCACTTCTCTCAATTGACACTTGGCAAGAACCTGAGTTTACATTAGCCAGAATTAATCCATATTTCTCTGAAAAGAAAATGTAAGAAGAATGTAACTTCTACCTCCCATATGTCTTGATCAGAATGTTGAGATAAAGGGTCCAAATTGTATCTAACAGTGCCATTGAAAAGGGTAGGATCCTGAGGTATAATAGACAAACGTGACCTCAAGTCATCAAGGCCAATAGAAGAGATGTCTATGTCATCAACTACAATTTTTCCACCTGATGGCTCGACAAGACGAAATATAGCACTGATCAGTGTTGACTTTCCACTACCTGTCCTGCCAACAATACCAATCTTGTGCCCTCCTTCAAAAGTGCAAGTGATGCCATTAAGTATAAGTGGCCCATCAAGCCTATATCTTACCTGCATTGGTATAGATAAAATATATCCCATTTCGTTTGGACTCCCATATTTTTAACACCACGATGAAAACTTTGAATTATGTAATTAGACAACTACCTTTAGATCATGTATTTCCATTATGCCTGCATCTGGCCAATTCAAAGGAGGGCGATTTCCTTCTATTACTTCTTTAGCTTCACTTTGTATATGCATATACTGGTTTATCCTTTCAACAGATATTATATAATTGGCTATATTGCACTGACTTTGAATTGAAAATACTAAGGCAGCGTTTAGTAATAAACCATAAGAGAGGGCCATGCCAATAAATCCTGGAAGAGAGCTTGCATCATGAAATTAAAAAAGACAATGCAATTTTCTGCTGATAAAAGAAAATATGCTCAAACAATGACCAAAGTCTTACCGGGGGAAAAAGTCCCAGGTGGAAGCATAACCATGCAAAGTGCTGCAAAGGAAAGCACAACTGCAGAGACAATTTCTAGTTGTAGGACTAACCACTCATTTGAAGCAAAAATATGGAAGAAAGCACTGGCATTGGCATCAATTAGATCAAGATTCTTCTCAAAGAAACGATCTTCGTCCTCAAATGCCCTTATTGTCACAGCTCCAGCAACAGTTTCAGCAACATGATTTGCTAGAGAGGATTTTGTTGTGCCATTCATCCTCATCACTTCTTTAGCAGAGGCCAAAAAGTATCTCTATTAAAAAACAAAAAGAACAAGTCTTTACCTTGCTTACTTTCCAGCCAAGAATATTTGAAATTGAAGTTTCGAAGAAGGCTTAAAACATTTTAGTTCCCAAACCCCCATGTCCCTCATTTTATTACAAAAAGAGGATAGTGAAGTTGAACTTGATGGATGTGTCAATGAAGAAATTGAAAAGGACACCATTTCACTGTTACAATATATTTCAGATAAGATAAAATATGCGAATTACCTGTAAGCGAATTGCAATGTACACCATTGGAATAGAGACAACCAACACTTGCCAAGTGATAACTGCTAAGACAACAATATATGAACACAAATATATAGGTCCTCCCACAGCAAACCCAAGGATAAAGGGGATGTCAAGATCCAAAATGCTCATATCTGATGAAACCTGGACAAGAAAATGACAAGCAAAATAGTGTTACCTTCACTATTTTCATGCAAGGGACGAAATTGTTTACTATGCTTACCCTACTAAGTATCCTTCCCAACGGTGTAGAGTCATAAAATGACATGGGTGCACGAAAAAGGGAGTCCATTAACTGTTCAAATAATCTTTTTGATGTTTTCATACCCAAAGAAACTGTAGCTAGACATCTGATCAACAAGAAAATAGGTGAAATTGCTGCAATCAAGCAGTAAACAACAATCAATTGTAATGTGCTAACATGGGGGTTGTCTACATTAGCAGCCATCCATGAGTTTTGCAGTATCTGGCAAATAACAAAGGCAGTGAAACAGAGGGAAACCACAAAATAGTATATATAGCCTTTCATCCCATTCAGATACTGTAGGTAAGGCTTCAATCCTGTGTCACCTTTCTCTCTCTCTTCTTGCTTAATTAATTGATTTTCGATTGTTTCTTTCACCTGTTTCTCCATAAAAGTTTGAGTAATTTCTCTAGCAGTTGTTAACTGCCTCTGGGAAGAAGTAACATTCACAAACTGATTAGAATTAGAAGTCTCCTTGTGAGCATTGACTAGGTCCTGGAATTCATGGCTTGACCTCAAAAGTTGGTGATAAGGAGCATCTTTTAGGATTTTCCCATTTGACATCAACTATAATGAAAAATGATGGAGTTAGCAAATTCAAGTTGGAATTCATGACAAAATAATAACTGAACAATAATTTAGAACCAACTCAACGACATTACAATGAAGCAGTGAAAACTACTATGCTAGAGAAACAAACTCAAATATCAACCTCTACAGTAAAAAATTCATTATGTGAAAATTAATGTATTCTCTCTAGTAGATTCCTTTCATCTTGAAAAGTATTTAACGCAAAAGTCTTGATAGTATATAAACTAATTATGGTACAAGGCAAAAATACAGCATTAATCTTCCAAAGTCATACGTTTGCTAACATGGTAGTCCAAATTATTAGAAGAAAAACAACAAGATATATGCTGATAATAACAAAAATGAAATCAACAAGTTCATTATACTAACAAACAATTATGGAAGGAAACAGAGAAATGAATACAAAATTAATGTCTTAGGATGAACCAAATTACCAAAACAGAATCAAATGCGGGGAGAAAGTCAACTTGATGTGTCACGAGTAACACAGTCTTTCCCTTCAGTCCTTCCATGATGTATTCCTGCCATGATTGAAAGTCATCTTTCAGTAAAGAATGACAGTTAAAATGATGCAGTATGTAAAAAAAGGAAGATTCCATCACATTAAACAAACTTGTAGCCGTATTTGCATCAACAGCACTGAATGGATCATCCAACAGATATACATCAGCATTCTGATAAAGAGCACGCGCAAGTTGAATTCTCTGCTTTTGACCTCCACTCAAGTTAATCCCTCTTTCACCTATTTCGGTGATGTCACCATGGGGAAACAACTCAATGTCCTTAACTAGTGAAGATCTCTGAAGTGTTTCCTGATATCTATGCATGTCCAAATCAGATCCAAACAAAATATTTTCTTGTATTGTACCCGACTCTATCCATGCTGTTTGTGAAACATACGCAATCTTTCCATAAATTTCAACCTGTAAATCAGTTAAAGAAATAGATATTCAGAAGAAAACAGTTAAAATGAAGAACACAAGAGAGATACACTACAGTATGCTGAACACATGTACTAAATGTAATAAATTCTATCAGAAAAGCTTAATGTTCTATGAGCATTCATATTAGAACAAACTAGAAATCACAAAATTGAATATTTTATTGTATGAGCATAGAAGGAATAAAAGCTTACTGTTCCATTTGTCTTGGGAACTTCTCCGAGAAGTGTTGCTAAAAGGGTTGATTTTCCTGAGCCGACTTCTCCGCATATTGCCACTTTCTGCCCGGGTTTAACCTCCAAGGTTATGTTCCTCAAGGTTAGGCTTGATTCATTACCTTCCCATGAAAAGTCAGCCGATTTGATTAAAATTGAGTCTCTAATGTTATCGTCAAAATCCCTTTTCCATAAATTTTCACTTTGAAGTTCAGGAGCTTGGAGGAATTTAACAATCCGGGTAAAAGCAACATTTGCTTGAATGACTGCCCCAACAATATCAGGAATGGCTGTTATTGGCTCTTGCACAAGGCGTAAAGTAGCCAAAAATGTGAAAACATTATTTGCATGCAATGGAATTTTCAGGAAGTAACATGCCCAAAAAGAAGCAGCAGTGAGCAAAATAGGTGCAGTCCAAAACAGAAATATATCGTATGCCTTTCTTAATTGCACTGACGATAACAATTTGAGTTCTACATTACGTAACTTCTCTATAACAATTTTAAAATGAGTTTCCCATGCATATAGTTTTAGCACTTTCATATTCACGAGAGCCTCAGAACTTGCCTTCAGTCTCTCATCTTGAGCAACCATGAGTTTAGTCTGCAACTTGTGCTGTAATTTTGCTAGTGGAGTATTGCAAAACAACATAAGAACTATCACCACCAATGAGGCCACTGTTGCTAGCCCAATTGTATGGAAAATTATTGCTAACACTATGCATAGTTGAATGCTTATTGTCCATGTTTGGTGAAACCAAAATGGAAGTTCTCCAACTCTATAAGCATCCACAGTCACATAATTCATTATCTCACCACCAGAGTGTGTCAATTTAGCTACATTAGACATCTTTAGTAGCTTTTTATAAATGCATGTAGAAAGGAGTGACTTAACTTTCACTCCTATAAGTCTACAACGGAAATACCATTGCCTCTGTGAGAGGGATTCAATGATCTTTATAAAAAAAAGTGATATTGCCAATACGTAACCTTCATATTTGAAAGTTTCATTACCCTCAGCAACCGACATAAAGGCACTTAGAAGTAAAGGACTAGCAGACTGAGAGAGTACCTTGAGGAATGCAAAGAGCCCTGATATCAAAATCTCTCTCCAGTGGCACAAAATTATTGTCCATAAAACTGACTGTGATGATAGCTCTTTCTGTTTTTGTCTGTTCAATTCTTCAATGAACATCAGGTAACAAGTTTCTGCTCGATCTGACTCTCGCAACATTGGTATATCCTGTTGGTCAAAGAAAGTGGGCAACCAACTTTCTCATTTGCACCGAAAGCATGGAAGAAAAGGGTGGCTGCAAATTTTTATTCAAGCATGAGGTGCCCACGAGGCATTTTTTATGGTAATGCACAGTACCAATTTTTGCTATAAATTGGTCTTCTTCCTGCAAGCAAAATTATCCCCATCCCACACAAAATACTACTTCTCTTAGAGAAGAAAGAGTGGCACCAGTGAGAGGCAGAAAAACTAGAGAGTTTTAGTTTAGCTTCTGGGTGTAATTGGGTTGTGAGTTGTGAGTGTTTTGAGAGTGTTTTGTAAACACTTGTGTATTTTCTTTTCTCCCAGAAAGAGATCTGTAGTAGTCCGGAGACGTAGGCATTATTGGCCGAACTCCGTTATCAACTTGTGTGTGCAATTATTCCGCTTTTATTTCACTTTCACAGATCTGACCATATGGGAAGATTCAGCATATTTTTCCCAACAACTGGTATCAGAGCTGGTTGTTAGTTCTGTAATTTTTGTGGTGTTACTATTCATATGAATAGTAAGTTACTATTCCGTGAATAGTGAAAACGTGAATAGTGCAAATTTTGTCGGCGTTACAAATTTGCCCGCAGTCGTGTTCTGAAACACGGTAGCTCACAGAAATTGTCAGAAACGATCCAGCAGATAAGTCAGATCAGAGTTGGAGTGATGGCTGCAGACGAAGGAAAAATGAAAATCGAAAGGTTCGACGGTACAGACTTTGGCTTCTGGAAGATGCAGATAGAGGATTATCTGTATCAGAAGAAGATGCATCAACCACTCACAGGGGAGAAGCCAGAAACCATGAAAGAGGAAGAATGGAGTCTCCTTGATAGACAGGCTCTTGGAGTTATTCGTCTAACATTATCCCGTAATGTTGCTTTTAACATTGTGAAAGAAAAGACGACCTCAGATCTCATGAAGGCTCTTTCCAACATGTACGAGAAACCATCAGCCTCAAACAAAGTTCACTTGATGAGGCGATTGTTCAACCTGCGGATGTCTGAAGGTGCTTCGGTGGCAAATCATCTCAATGAACTCAACACTGTAACAACCCAATTGAGTTCTATTGACATCAAATTCGATGATGAAGTACAAGCTTTAATACTTTTGTCTTCCCTACCAGAGAGTTGGAATGCTACGGTCACAGCTGTGAGTAGCTCATCGGGAAACAATAAGTTAAGATTTAATGATGTTCAAAATTTGGTTCTCAGCGAAGAGATCCGGCGGAGAGAGTCGGGTGAAGCATCAACCTCTTCAGTATTGCATACAGAGTCAAGAGGAAGAAGTTCAACCAAAGAAATTGGACATGGAAAATCAAAGGACAGGCGGTCCAAGTCCAGAAATCATCGTAGTTCCCACAACTCAAAAACGATCGAGTGTTGGAATTGTGGGAAGACCGGACACTTCAGAAACCAGTGCAAGAGTGCACGGAAGAATCAAGGAGCAAAGGACGAAGCAAACGTTGCCTCCACCTCAGGAAAAGATGAGGCGTTGATATGCTCTCTTGAAGGCAGTGGAGGAGTCTTGGGTGTTAGACTCTGAGCTTCTTTTCATGCTACCTCACGTAAGGAACTGTTGGAGAATTATGTTCCCTGAAACCTTGGTAAGGTTTACCTTGGTAATGAACAATCATGTGAGATTGTAGGCAAAGGTGCAGGAAGGATTAAGCTCGAATGGGTCTCGTATGGGAATTGAAAAATGTCGGACATATTCCCGACCCGACAAAGAGCTTAATCTCAGTAGGTCGGTTAGCTAGTGAAGGCTATACGACAATCTTCCATGGTGATGAATGGAAGATCTCAAAAGGTGCGATGACGATTGCTCGAGGCAAAAAGAGTGGAACTCTCTACAAGATCTGCAGGAGCATGTCATTTGATTGCAGCTGCAACAAATGAAAATTCCAACATATGGCACCAAAGACTTGGACATATGAGTGAGAAAGGAATGAAGGTCATGCACTCGAGAGGAAAATTACCAAGTCTTCAGCCAGTAGATATTGACATGTGTGAAGATCGCATACTTGGAAAGCGGAAGAGAGTCGACTTTCAAACAAGTAAAAGAACCCCAAAGAAAGAGAAGCTTGAGCTCATCCACTCGATGTTTGGGGTCCAACGACTGTCCCATCCGTTGGTGGGAAGCATTACTTCGTGACTTTCATTGATGATCACTCCGTAAAGGTATGGGTTTACTTTCCGAAATATAAGTCGAAGTATTTGAAGCTTTCAAGATTTGGAAAGCTATGGTGGAAAATGAGACAAGATTGAAGATTAAGAAGCTCGGATCCGACAATGGTGGTGAATATGTAGACACCAAATTCAAGAAGTTTTGCTATGAGCACGAATCGGAATGGAGAGAACCGTGCCGGTACGCCTCAACACAATGGTGTAGCCGAGCGTATGAATCGAACGTTGATCGAAAGGGCCGAAGCATGCGTGTGCAGTCAAGCTTACCAAAGCGCTTTAGGCGTAAGCGACCAACACAGCAGCTTACTTGATCAACCGAAGTCCATCGGTACCATTGGAACACAAGATACCGTAAGAGGTATGGAGCGGAAAAGAGGTAAAACTCTCACATCTTAGAGTTTTTGGTCGTGTAGCATATGCGCATATCGGTGATCAAGGCGTAAACAAACTTGATCCAAAATCAAAGAAATGTACTTTCCTTGGTTATGGTGAAGATGAGTTTGGCTACCGCATATGGGACGATGAAAACAAAAAGATGATCCGCAGCAGAGACGTAATCTTCAATGAAAAAGTGATGTACAAGGACAAGCATAATACAAGTGCCAGCAACTCGAAGCGAGTGGGCCAGCTTATGCAGAGGTGGAAGATATCCCGTAAAGTCCTATAATGAGGAGTCCTCGACCGGAGGAATCAGTTGAAGAACTTGATGTGCAAGCGGAACCTCCTACTCCAACTCCCGTATTGAGAAGGTCTTCTCGGCCTCATGTGCCTAACAGGAGATACATGGACTACATGTTGTTGATCGATGGAGGGAGCCCGAAGATTATACGGAAGCTTGTCAAGCCACCTGATGCTAGCAAGTGGGAGCTTGCCATGAAAGACGAGATGAAGTCTTTAATCTCAAATCGACATGGGAACTAGTCAAGTTACCTATGGGAAAGAAAGCACTTCACAACAAATGGGTGTATCGAGTGAAGGAAGACCATGATGGTTCTAAGAGATACAAAGCTCGACCGGTCGTCAAAGGATTTCAGCAGAAAGAAGGAGTCGACTACACCGAAATCTTTGCTCCAGCTTGTAAAGCTCAATACTATCGGGATCGTGTTAAGTATTGTGGCTAGTGAGGAGCTCTACCTAGAGCAATTAGATGTGAAGACCGCATTTCTTCATGGAGATTTAGATGAGGAGATCTACATGCACCAGCTCGAAGGTTTTTCGAAGGAAAGAAGAACTTGGTGTGCAGATTGAAAAAGAGCTTGTATGGCCCGAAACAAGCTCCAAGACAAGTGGTATAAGAAGTTCGAAAGCTTCATGCACAAGGAGAGTTTTCGAAGTGCAACGCCGATCACCGTTGTTTCTTCAAGAGGTATAAGTCCAAGTTATATCATTTTGCTACTTTATGTTGATGATATGCTAGTAGCAGAGTTCAGATATGAATGAGATCATAAACTTAAAGAAGCAGCTTGTCAAAAGAATTTGACATGAAGGACTTAGGCCCAACGAAAGAAGATTCTTGGAATGCAAATCACGAGAGATAAGCAAAAAGGAGTTTTGCAGCTTATCTCAAGCGGAGTATATCAACCATGTTTTGCAGAGATTCAACATGGACAATGCCAAACCAGTCAATACACCTTTGGCTTGCCATTTTCGTCTATCCAAGGATCAGTCTCCTCAAACAAAGGAAGAAGAAGAGTTAATGGCTAAGATTCCGTATGCTTCAGACCATTGGAAGTTTGATGTACGCGATGGTCCGTACGAGGCCGGACATTGGCCATGCAGTGGGAGTTGTAAGCGGATTCATGTCAAATCCAGGAAAAGCTCATTGGGAAGCGGTCAAATGGATTCTAAGGTATCTACGAGGCACAACAGAAAAATGTCCGTATTTTAGAAAGGGAGATCTAAAATTGCGAGGCTACGTAGATGCGGACTTTGGAGGTGAAGTTGATCACCGAAGAAGCACCACTCGGGTATGTGTTTACTCGTTGGAACTACAACTGTTAGTTGGATGTCGCGGATACGTAAGATTGTTGCTTTATCCACTACGAGGCCGAGTATGTAGCAGTGATGTAAGCCAGTAAAGAATTGATATGGCTTCAAGGATTGTTGGCGTAGTTGGGATTCATTCAAGAAAGGAGTGTTTTGCACGATGATAGTCGAGTGCAATACATCCGGCAAAAAATTCAGCATTTCACTCCGTAACCAAACACATCGACATACGTTATCATTTCATCAGATCTCTACTTGAGGATGAGATGCTAACATTGAAGAAAATTGTGGGAAGTAAGAACCCAGCAGATATGCTAACAAAGGTGGTGACTATTGACAAACCGAAGTTATGCTCAACTTCAGCTAGCTTACAAGGATAACGATGACAAGAGAAGACTACTATTGATCAAGGTATGAGGACAGATTGAAATCGGTCCTCAAGTGGGAGATTGTTGGTCAAAGAAAGTGGGCAACCAACTTTCTCATTTGCACCGAAAGCATGGAAGAAAAGGGTGGCTGCAAATTTTTATTCAAGCATGAGGTGCCCACGAGGCAATTTTTTATGGTAATACACAGTACCAATTTTTGCTATAAATTGGTCTTCTTCCTGCAAGCAAATGTATCCCATCCCACACAAAATACTACTTCTCTTAGAGAAGAAAGAGTGGCACCAGTGAGAGGCAAAAAAAACTAGAGAGTTTTAGTTTAGCTTCTGGGTGTAATTGGGTTGTGAGTTGTGAGTGTTTTGAGAGTGTTTTGTAAACACTTGTGTATTTTCTTTTCTCCTAGAAAGAGATCTGTAGTAGTCCGGAGACGTAGGCATTATTGGCCGAACTCCGTTATCAACTTGTGTGTGCAATTATTCCGCTTTTATTTCACTTTTACAGATCTGACCATATGGGAAGATTCAGCATATTTTTCCCAACATATCCTCATCCTGAAGTGTTTTCTCTTTACCTCTTTTCATCAATGAATTCAGCCACCAGAAGGACATTCTACTAAAGAATCCAGCTTTGGCAAATGGGGTTACATTCCTAGGAGGATCAATTTCATTGAACCTGACATTTAAAGGAGCAGAAAGTTCTTCACCATTTTGTTCATTAGTGTCTTCACATTTGCTTGTTTTATATGTGCATAAGAGCATTAAAAATGCTCCTAGAAATATTAGAACATCTGAAGTAGCCTTGAGGGACAATTCTCCACTACTAATAGCATAAGACAAGGATAAAGCACATAAGATACAAGAACCACAGAATATAACAATAGAAAATAGCCATAACCATACTCTCGTTAGCAGTTTCAACTGAAGACTTACTATTAAACCTACTAACAACCATGTGAATCCTTGAAAGAGTTCTGATAACCACCAAGTAAGAGGAAAAATAGTGTCTGTTTTCCTTAACTCTTCCTCTAAAACCCAAAAGCCAAAACACAAATGCAACAAGCCAAGGCTACCATTGATTATGGCAGATATTAGTTGCAAGTTTGAATAACATTCCATTCGGATTAGAGCCCAAAATGGTCTCGATGAAGACCTATGCACCATGACGAATAACAGCATGATCAGTAGTAACACATCAAAGCAAATGACCATCAAATTGTTGAAGTGTGTGGAAGGATCTCTCAAAAACATGAAATCATAACTGAAAGGCTTTGTTCTACTCTTTAAACAACCAGAGTCACCACAAATCATGCTCCAGACATCCTCAATCTTCATTTCAGCTTCTCTTTTTTTCTGCTCAAACTCTCCAACATACTGGCCTACGTAACGACATGAACTATTTATGAATTTTTAGTGAGAAAACTATTAAAATAAAATCTTTCTTTTCACTTAAATAGAAATTAAAATTTAGTTTATGTTATTTATTGAATAAGGTTGAAAATTTAAGCAAATATTAAAAGTTAACTTCCATTTTATTTGATTTATGATACTCACCAATGGTAATATATATATATATATATATATATATATATATATATATATATATATTATTTATTTATCAAAAAGAAATTTTGTATAATATTGAAACAAAGTAACCATCAAGTAAGTTGTCTAGTTATATGATATATTTTTATTAGATTTCTTCCCAAAAAATTTTAGATAAGGAAAAAAATCTCCAAAACTTAAAATTAATTTATAAATATATAATTGAATTTTAATACAAAAGCTTATAACTTTTTTTTTCTCAAAAATTTTTATGCTAAAAGTTTTACAACTACTCCTTGTCCAGTGGTAATTTCTAAATAGCACCACAAATTTAAAAAATAAAAAACAAAAAAACTGACAGATTCAGATTGTACGACAATAAATAACGTGTCGCAATCCCCTGACTATTCCTTGAAAATAATGTTTTTCTCGTGTTACCTGCTTCTCTTGTATTCAATATTGTTTTTCTCTTGTGTAGTTACTCACTCTCGTGTATTTATTAAATATTATTATAAATATAAAGTATAAAATAGAAAAAAAAATTAAAAACAAAAGTTGCATAACCATCTTTCATAATGTTACGTGATAAGTTAAATAATTTATAAATGAAAATATGTGTTATGTTATTTTACATGGATGAATTATGTATTATTATTGAAAATCTTCTTGTGTTAGTAACCTTAAAAATAGATTCGACGATTTGTACGGTGGTTACTCGATTGGAGTATGCGATAAATCGGAAATTATGAATTTTTTTATCAAAAGTTTTTTTAATAAGAATTTCATTCAGTGAGTCTGTGTTAAACAATAATATAAATACTATTATTATTCAAAGTTAAAAAATATTTTTGTTTGGAGGTGATTCAAGTGGAATGTAATCACAGTGAAAGATGGTGATAATATCCCAGTATTAATCTATGGAAAAAAAAACAACAATAAGTAATATATTATTAGAGTAAAGAACATTAAGTAGAGAATTATAACTTTTTTTTTCTAATAGATTAATATAATCTTTTTAAAACTGAATTGTGAAAATATAAATTTAAGATTTAAATATGAACTCGATTTAATAAAATAATATTTTTATAATATAATAAATTGATTAATAATAATTTTTTTATAAAAATTATTATAAATTAAAATAAATATTATAAATATAAAATATATTAAATAATATAAAATAAATAATTATTAAAGAAGATAAAAATATGATAAAATAATTATTATTTAAAGTTGACATAATTAATATGAAATAAAAAATTAAAAAATTAAAATATATAATATTTTTTATTACAAAAATTTTGATTTTAATTTTTTTATTAAAATTTATTTATCCAAAAATTCAGTTGATTTTCTCAAATTTATATAATTTTTTTAATTATATCTTATTTGAATTAAAATATGATTATTCAAAAGTAATAAGCGCTTTCCAGATCTAATTAGATGAGTTGAAGCAGGTTGAAAAGATGATTCGGGCCAATTTTAAAAACAGTATATTAATATACAATTATTTCATCTATTAATGTTAAGTTAAATATATTAATTATGTTGTAACCGAAGAGAGAAAGACACGTTAATGTTCATTAGAAAACTGCAATAAAAATCACAAAGCAACTTCCATCCACACCTCAACTTCGTTAGCAGTGTAATACGTCTTCTATTTCTTTAGAAAACATTTTTTATGAAAAAACAAATAAGAAATAAAAATAATGAAATATATTTTTATAAATCAAAGTTAAATTATGCATTAATTAAAAAGAAAAAAATACCTTATATAAATTAACTTATGTATAACTTCGATTTATTTTTTAGTGAAACTTATTTATTTTGTTTTCATTTCTCTCAGTCCGACGTGTTATTCAGAAAATTTATGTGATTTTCAATTTAAAACCTTAAAATATTATATTATAAATATTTCTTAATTATAAATTTTTTAAGTTTTATTTAATATAAAATTTCATCTATCCTTAAATTTCCAACAACGTTAAACTCTCAACATAAAACATCACTTTATCATTGTAGACAAGGGAGACAGTGAGGGCACAATAAAATTTAGACCAATTAAATTTCATTGTATTTCAATTTCTAAATTTACTGGAAAATTCATTGTCAACATCAGCTTGTAGCTGATGCTACGTGAAAAAAAAATTGATATTATTTGGGTTTTTAGTCTCACCAGTTTTTTTTTTTTTTGTTATTATTGTGTTAGTATTATATATGATTGCAAGGGAAGAAATTTTTACCATGCTTACCCTACTAAGTATCCTTCCCTACGGTGTAGAGTCATAAAAGGACATGGGTGCATGAAAAAGGGAATTGTAGCAAGACATCTGACCAACAAGAAAATAGTTGAGATAACTCCAACCAAGCTGTAAACAACAATCAATTGTAATGTGCTGACATGTGGATTGTCAACATTAGCAGCCATCCATGAGTTTTGCAATATCTGGCAAATAACAAAGCCAGTGTAACACAGGGAAACCAGAAAGTAGTATATATAGCCTTTCATCTCATTCAGATACTGTAGGTAAGGCTTCAACCCTGTGTCGCCTGTCTCTCTCTCTCTCTTCTTGCTTAATCAATTGATTTCCATTTGTTGCTTTTAACTGTATCTCCATAAAAGTTTGTCTAATTTCACTAGCAGAAATTAACTGCCTCTGGGTAGATGAAACATTCATAAGCTGATTAGAATTAGAAGTCTCCTTGTGAGCATTAACAAGGTCCTGGAATTCTTGGCTTGAGTTCAAAAGTTGATGATAAGGAGCATCTTGTAGGATTTGCCCATTTGACATCAACTATAATGAAAAGTTATGGAGTTAACAAGTTAAAGTTGAAATTCATGATCAAAGAATTGTTGAGAAATGTATAAAGAAAAATAATTCAGAACTCAATGTCTTTAAATCCCCTCAAAAGAATCAATAATAATTATTACCAACTGAACAAAAATAAAATGAAGCATTGAAAACTATTTTAGAGTACTATTAAAATGGAATGCAGATTCTAGAACAACGTAGAAAAGCCTAGTAGGTAAAACTTGCGGCTTGAATTCAATTTCTAGAATAATCATGTCAATGAAATGGGTCCACGAAAACTTATGTACACTGCAACTTCAAAATATACTTCTTTCAACTACTACTTTCATATTCATGTTATTTTAAAAGTTGTCTCCACATTTTCTTCATCCCATCAACTATTTCTTTCACAACTTCAAAATACTTACAGCGGTATTAGATTAGAGTTACTTTCGGTCAATTGGACATAGAAAAAATTATCCTATCACTTCCAAAACTTCCTTCTATACTTAAAAAAAAAAAATAGAGTTTTTCTCTTATCCCATGACTTCTAACAATGTTAAGTTTTATCGGTGAAAATTTTGACCTTTGGAAACTCAAACTAAAGACATATTTTATCTCACAAAAATTGTGGGATATTGTTCAATTTGGTTATACAAAACCAGATAATACTATCACTCTGTCTTAGGAGGAACAGAAAAATTTAGAAGAATATAAACAAAAGGATGCTCAAACATTGTTTGTTCTTCAACAAGCTGTGCGAGAAACTATTGCTAGGAGGATCATGGATGCAAAAACTGCAAAAAAGGCATGAGATATTTTGGAAGAAGAATTTGAAGGCAATGAGCATGTACACTCTGTCAAATTACACTATTTGAGAAGCGAATTCGAGACCATTAGAATGAAAGAATATGAGACCATTGAAGAATACTATGAAAGAGTAAAAGAAATAGTTAAGAAAATGCAAGTATATGGAAACGAAATAAAAGGAAAAAGAGTGGTAGAAAAAATTCTGATCACTCACAAAATAATATGATTCCATTGTAGTTTCCATAGGAATTTCCTCTGACCCATCTTCTCTATTGATAAATAAATTAGTTGGTCTCCTTGGAGCGCACAGAGCAAGATTAAATAGCGTACTGATACAAATTCAGATGAAAATGCACTCCAATCAAAGCTCAAAAAATGGAGAAATGAAAAATGTTGGAGAATATTCTAGAAACAAAGATTCTACAAATTCCTCTAGAAAAAAAAAAAATTAAATATCCTCCGTGGCATTTGCAATAAGTCAAGTCATGCAGAAAAAAACTCTTGGCATCGCGCAAAGCCAGTATTTCATCATTGTAATAAATCCGACCTCGTGAAAAAGTATTGTAATAAAAATAAACATTAAGTAAATTTTGTAGAAGAACATATTTAGGAGTAACATTTATTTTATGTTAATAAAGAATCTCCTAGCGGATAAAAAAGTTGGTAGTTAGATAATGATGCAAGAATGACATGATTAAAGATCAAAATATCTTCAAAGACATTGATAGATTTGCAATGTCAAAGTTCGGTCGGGAGACGACACCACAGTGGAGTCTCAAGGTAAAGAAACCGTTGGAGTTTACTAGTTTCTAATATTTAAGAAAATTTTTAAGTATTGGTCAAATAATAAAAAATGGATATTTTTTTCACTTTGAGAAAGATACATGTCAAATTTATGACAAAAAAAATTAGAAGTTGAAAAAGTAAAAAAGAGAAGAGAAATAAAAGTTTTCTCACGAGGTTCAAACCTAGAACTAATATTGTCATGAATATAGAAGTTGATAACTCATGACTTTGATATAGTAGATTTGGACACTTCAATATATGCTTAAAGTTTTTATATAAGAAAAATATGATGAGAGATTTTCCATGTTTAAAGAAGAATAATAAATGGTGCAAAGGATGTTTTTTCGACAAACAACATATTGATTACCATTCTCCACAAGCAAAACATGGAAAGTTCATATCGATATTTGTGGACCGATGAGAATGCTTTCATATCACAATAACAAATATTTCATCCTCTTTATTAATGACTTCTCTAGAATGACATGTGTCTATATCTGAAAGGCAAAGTCATAAGTCTTTGGAATATTTAAGAAATTAAAGGTCTTTGTTGAGAAGCAAAGTGGAAAATAGATAAAAATTCTTAGAAGTAATCATGGTAAGGAGTACACATCTTGTGAGTTTGACAAATTCTACGAAGCCAAAGGCATAGACTAACAACTTATAGTCGCATATACTCCATAACAAAATGGTGTCTTAGAAAGAAAGAATCGCAAAATTATGGAGATGACAAGATTGATGCTGAAAGAAAAAGGATTACTAAATACATTTTTTGTTGAAGTAGTCTACCTACTCTTAACAGATGTCTTACCAGTCCAAGATAAGACTCCAATTGAAGCTTGGAGTGGGGAGAAACCATAAGCTAAACATCTAAGAGTATTTGAATTGAATCTTGGAGAGGGGAGAAACCATCAGTTAAACATCTAAGAGTATTTGGATTTGTTTTCTATATTCACATTCTAGACCAAAAGTGACTCAAATTAGAAGACAAGACTACACAAGGTATCTTCTTAATGTATAATACATAATCAAAAGGCTACCAAGTTTATAATCTTAGGACAAAGAAGCTAATAATTAGTAGAGATATTGAAGTAAATGAAAGTGCTACTTAGAACTAGGAAGAAGAACGAATTGAGAGGAAGACAATATACCTGTCTATCAATCAATCAATTACAAGCCAAGAAGATAACAATCAAGATATCATC